ATATCTATGCCACTTTCTACACCAGTCTAGTTTAGGTTGCTGTATACAATACAAAAGTTCTTCATTGACCTTATGCATTCCATTTTTCTTAATTTATGTCTTTTTCTTTGTAAATGTTTTTACTGATGAGAGTGCATATTCTTGAAATATGAAATAGATGTATACTATTATATTGTAGCAGTTATTTTTACTCATTTTCTAACTTAAATTGTAATTTATGTATTCTTCAATTCCTCAAAGAGTTAATTTTTATTACTTTTCATATCCAAAAGAATGGGCACAGGTAGAGATTTGAGGAAGAGAGTGGCATGTGGAAAAGAGAAACGTCTTTATCATCTGATTTCTAACATACTTTACTTGAAGTTCTAAGATACTGATTCTCTAAAATTTCAGGGGTTTTCCTTGTGAAGCATGTGGGTATTTTTTAAGTAAATACTTTATGGAAATTTAAAAAGAAAACATACATTTCAAGCATAATTTAAGGCAGACAGCCTTTTGTTATCTTCCTATGCAAGTAAGTGGACTTTTCTCTAATCAGCGATCATTCTAAGGGACTCTTTCCTAGTATTCATGTGCATCATGAATCTTAAACTCCAGAGTCTTATGTTTAGTCGTGCTTAAATCAGTTTCAATTGAAATGTTCTCTTCTTTCTAAGCTCAGTTCTACACATGAACTCTCATATATGTTATCATGGAGAATTTCAAAATGTTCAATTTTTTCCATCATGGGCCAAGAGAATTAAAAGTTTTCACATGACTATATGGGACTAACTCAAAAGATGATAATATTTAAAAATACTCATTGCATAATAGCATATAGTCTTAAAAATAATAAAATTTTATTTTGTTTTATTAAATTGATAAAAATTATGTAAGCATTGAAAAACATCACAAGTAAATGTAGTGTTTCTTTTTCTTCACTGAATTTTTTATTGAATTTTTCAGATTTTCATACAACATAGTTTGATGGTACTTAGACTCCCTCCCCTCTACCCTCACCCAATTTACCAATTATACATATTGTGTCCCTGCTGTAGAGAATTGGCTATGAAGAGTTTAGTCATGGAGGGAGGACCGTGGGGGCCATCTTTGACAGAGGTGGGAGATGGCATGGTGCAGAAGTGCGGGGGAGTGGCATCTCACCCGTGTGGACACGAGAGGGGGTATTTACCAACCTGGCGTGAGACCACAGGCTGATGACGTATGGATGAAAGCTAATGGAGACTGTGGGTGGGGCACGGAAGCCATCTGGAATGGTAGGCCGCTGAGCCACAGAGCGGAACTTGGGAGCCGGCTGTTTACCTTTTTGTGGAGGATTGGGTATTTGCCTTTGTAAGTTACTCTATTCCACCTACCCAGGATATAAACTATGAAAAATTCAGATAAAGATATGTTATGTGGTTTGTCTAACAGCTCCAGGAGCAAGGGACCCTAAGAGAACTCGGGTGACAAATTCACGTAGCCGGCAGGATGATGGCACTGGAGTTTGGAAAAAGCTAGGGAACTAATGGCAGTGCTGATGTGGATCTTGCAATGGATTATAAAATATGTAACGAAAAATAAGCCAGCCATGCAGAAGCGTGGGCCACAGCTGTGTTGTAAACGTGGGGAAACAGCTCAATTGCCGATAGATGAAGATTTGTTAAAGGTTATAGAAAGGCTAGAAAAACTGTTACAGACCTTGGACACAAGCAGAGAACCCAGAGAGGGGGCATGGCCACTTTGCATAATAAAAGATGTGCCCAAGGCCGGGGAAGCTGAAAATGCTAGGGAGGTCCTTGCAGATCCAGTTGCAGAGCTTGAGAGAGAGAGAAAAAAAAAGGGACATTTTAACTCGTACAAGGTCCAAGGACTCAGAGAAAAAGACAGATAATAGTAAAAAGGAGACGACCTAAAAAAAAAGTAGCTAATGCCCCTTAGATTCAACCTTTGATACAAAAAGAAAAAAAAAAAAAAAGCTAACAGTGCTGTAACTAGGAAATATTCCTTAAATGCAAGCAATCAAAGAATCCCTCACAATATGGCTGGTGAGGGAATGGGACATGGGAGCAAATAATATCAGTGTAAGTCCTTAAGAAGTTTCACAGATGAGTTATATAATGACCCATCTATCCTTGTGATATGGACTGTTCAACCTAGGTCAATGGAGGAGTGAACAGTCCTTAATGGGATGGCTGGTGGAAGGCATTAAAGATACATGGTCATCATCAAGAGAAATTCCCATGGTTAACAGAGGCTGGAGGACTATAAAGGAGGGGCAGGCATTACTGAGAGAACTAGGTATGAGAAAAGCAATATATGATACCCAGTTCACTGGGCTAGATAAGACTGTGTTCACCAGAGATATGAAGGAAAGATTAATTCAACTAGGACCTCAAGAATGGTACGGAGCTTTAATGGTTTTGCTAAGCCCTTTAATGGGACAGGATCTTTGTAAAGTGAGAGAGGCTTTAGCAGATCTAAATGATTCTGACCAGCATGTATAACATGTGTGTAGAATAACACAACACCCTAGAAAAGATATAAAATAGACCAGACAGAAGAAATAGTCTGTTTGGGTTACTTGAAGACAAATGTGGCAAGACTTATGTCGAGCCCAAATTCCCAAGTAAAAAAATTAACAGAAAACCAAAATCGGTACTAAGGAGTTTCTGGAAGGCTTTAAAACTAGAACAACAGTTTACAAAAGGCATTCAAAGGATAAAAACTGTCCCAGAGTTGGTTAAGACTCCCCAAAGATTAAATAAGGTACATTTATCTTCCGATAAAGGCCATACTAGGGGTGGAGGCAGTTTTTCCCACCAAAGTCTCCCCCAGCAGCCAGGTATGGTCAATGGAGAGATGATAGATAGGGCTACAGTCAGGAGGCAGTCCCAGGGCCTACCTGACTCAGGGAACCAACAGGTGCAGTGGGGACAGGAGAAACCCCCTGCCTCCTTAGCCCAGTGCAGGGTCAGGCAACTGGAGCAACACCTGTAAGTGTATCAGGAATAAGGAATACAAAGAGACACCATGTAAAATCCCCCAAGTGCGAAATGTCTCTGAAGGGATAACTAAAGATAGTAAGGACTAACTAAATTAATGCCTTGTACCCATGCTATGGTATCTAACAAAGATCTATGGAGAAAACAGTTAATACGAATAGATAAAACCTTTCCATGCTGTATGAGACCTTGTCTATGTTTGATTTAATATATGATCTTAACCTTCCTTTGAGTCTTTTACAGATGTGAAATCCACTTAAGATAACTGAAGAAGCAAAGGTCAGCTATAGCTGTAAGATTCTTGGGATTTTTATAGTTGGGTAATATATAAACAGAGGCTCCCAAACTATACAACTGTTAAGAAAATCTACAGTACCGGGGTGGGTTTCCCCATGAGCTGGTGGTCAAAGAGAGATCCTAGAGGTCCTCAAATTCACCAAGGCCATTGCCACTAATGTCAGTTGTACACTAGAAAGGCTGGTAAGGACATGTTGCTGAAAACACTGCATGATGTGAGTGCAGGAGGAGAAGAGATGGATCAGAGACTAAGCCAAAAAGCTCCATGCCACTGGATGGATGACGTTCATAGTGCCAGAAGGCGCTATGTAGATGGTTGGGGAAGAAATGATCTCCTATGATTCTACTCAACAATGGACCCCACATGCTGCACACCATGGACATGCAAAGCAATGCCTGCAAGTTCAATAATAGCTCAACTAACATACGTACAACTGACAAATTCGTAATTGGATAAGGCCCACTCCTAGGGGTGGAACACACATCTGGTACTGTAGACTAGGCCAAGCCCCTGTGTCAAGAAAGGCTATAGGCCCTAGCACAGAACCCATTACAAGTATACTGTTTCTTCTAGGCATTTGTATTTACATTCATATTTATTTAGATGTGTCTACTTCCTTCCATTTGTCTTTATAGTAGAAGAAACACCACTGAGATAGATCAATGGCTATGGCTTGAAGATGAATAATGGGAGGCCCAAGAAGTCACTATGTTGCCATGATAAAGATGGCCCTACATCTGTCATCCTCTCCAAGGCTCAGTGATCTTAGCAGAAGATTGGCAGAAAGATTGTAAGAGCCAAAGGAAGGGGTGGACTGCATCCCAAGGGGTACCTTTTCCTCCGAGCAGTTGGGCCTGCTGTGGAGAATTGGCTGCAGAGAATTAGTCATGGAGGGAGGAGCATGGGGGCCATCTTGGACAGAAGTGGCACCGCATGGCGGGGAAGAAATGGCCCCGATGTCTTGCCCGTGTGGACATAAGAGGGGGCATTTACCGACCTGGGGCCCACAAGTCATTGGCAAAAGCTAATGGGGGCTGTGGGCTGGGCATGGAAGTGATCTGAAATGGCGGGCCACTAGGCCACAGAGAGGAATGGGGTGCCAATGTTCACCTTTTCGTGGAGCACTGAGTGTTCGCCTTTGCAAGTTACTCTATTCCCCCTACCCAGAATATAAACTATGAAAATTTCAGAAAAAGATGTGTTATGTGGTTTGTCTAGTAGCTCCAGGAGCAAGGGACCCTAAGAGAACTTGGGTGACATATATATATATA